TAATTACAGAAGCTTTTAATTGCATTTATGAATAATATATATTAAAGACAATACTGTCGAAAGAAAAATATTTTTTCAATGAAAAATGAATTTTTAGAAGATTTGTTTTCATTTCTTTTACAATTTTAAATTGAATAATTTACAAAATTTTTAAATCTTAAAATTCATTTTCAATGTGATAATTCATAGGAAATATTATTAAGTAAAACTATATTTACTAATCATATATTGTAAGGTTTATTACAATCTGACAACCCTGAATATTTTAAAAAGAATTTCCATTTTTGAAGTATGGATGTACAAACTGATAAATCTATCATTAAAAGGTCATGTTTTAAGGGTTGTCCCCCTCACAATGAAAAAAAAAAAACATTCTGATCAATATAATTTGTTTGAAATAAATGACCAAATATTTTGCTTACAAGAAATAGTAAATTTTAAGACCTTTAGCTTTCAATTAAAGCTAAAATGAAAGCTTTTTCATTTTTAAAAAATCATTTTAAACCCTATGCATATCAAATTAGTGGTGGTACCTCCATTTTACCAAATGACAAAAACAAACACAAAGAACACTTTAAAAAATCCAGGTACCTGACTGTTTTTGCTAATTGCTCAATGATATCTTCTGTTGAAAGCAACTGCCACAGTTGAAGGTTTCGGCGATAACCCCAAGAGTACCGATCAACAGTCATTGCATTTTCCCATTTCTTTTTTTGCAGAGTTCCTGCAACAATAAAAACAAAACAGCAGAAAAACTAAGAAAAATGGAAATTGAAATATGCAGAAAGAATTTTTTAAAAACTTATAAAAAATACAGAAAATTTAGATCTATTGGGTTGGTGCATATTTATCAGGTGTTTTTGTAGGTGAGTTATTTGTTAATAAAAATTGATGTTTTCTTTACTTTTTTAATAAAAATATTATTTTTTTTTCAGGTTATAAAAATGCATGTCGATATTCATATACTCTGGAATAATCATTTTAAAATGTTATTGTTGATAGAGATGGGTGAAAAACAGACATTTTTCAGTTTCATCTTCACACTGTGAAACCACATCTAAGTTTTTTACGAAGCCAAAATAGTTCATTTTTTTTTTTTTTTTTTTTTTTTTAAGTACTATCACTACTGAGTGACCATATCCAAAGAAACACTATTGAAAAAGACTTTCAGATGTTAATAAAATTAAATTTTATCAACATTTATACCATAGTAAGAGAAAAAGATTGAATAAAAATATGTTAAAAACATTTAATTGACTAGTTTTAGGAAATAAATGTGAAATCTGTTTGTTTACAAAAGAAATGAAGAAGAAAAAAAGGAAATACGACATGATGTCAGAAATCTATTTGTTTCAGTTTAAAAAAACAAACTTTTTGTGGTAAAATTAAGTTAACAACAAAATAAATAGCGAGTAAAAATAGAAAAAAATAGTTGCCAGTTTCATCTTAATGTTAAAGTTTTTGAAGTCAGATTATTTGTAAGGGTCATACGTAATTGTTTTTTAGTAAGCCAGTAGTACGCCAATCATGAAATAAAATTGTTGTAAACAAGAAAAATGAATGAAGATTTTTTTTTTTTTTATAAATAAATTCATTTTTTATGCAGGGAATGCACCTAAATTAAATATTAAGAATAATTAAAATAGTTCTCAATTAATTTTTAAAATATGTATATTTCCAGATATGCAAGTCTCTATTGACTGTAAAATTGTTTTCTACAAATAAAATTGTTTCTATCTAGTGAATAATACCCCTAAAATTAGATATTAAAACAAATAAAGTAAGTTTTAATGTCTGTTTTAAAATGTGTATGTTTTCAAAACTGCCAGACATTTTTTTTTAAACCCAAAGTAAAAAAAAAAAAAAAAAAAAAAATTCTTTTTTAGCCACCAGTCAGTGTTAGTAGTTTCAATAATTTGAAAGTTCTTTTAGCACACATTTACTATCAGTTGCTTTTTTTTTTTTTGCTTGCTTTATAATTTTTGAAGGAATTTGCTCCCTTGGGTCAAAGAAATGAACATCTTCCTGGTTGTAGTTTAAGTTGTCTTCTAATTGAGTGTACAATTTCAAGAATATTGATAAGGATTGGTCACTTTGATTTTGCAAAACAAAGTAACGTGTAAAATTTAGTCTCAAAAAATAAATAAAAAAAATAAAAATCATATTTCATATTTTCGGCTGGTCGAAACAAAATACAGTTTCTGTGAAAAAAAAAAAAAAAAAAAAATAATTCAATGAATAAAAGCACATACAAATTACATATTTAGAAAGATTATTTTATTTTCTTTCCAGCCATATGAATATTTTTAAGATTAGACCAGAAATACAGGCGATACTGTGAGTTGAATGGACTAAGTTGCAAATTTATCAATCTCAAATGAAATCAGATATCGACTGGAAATGCTACAAGAATCATTACACAAGAAAATGAATAACTTCCTTAGAAAGCAAAAAGCAAAAATGCTAAATTAAAAACTGAAAAACCCAATAGAAAACCGTGGCATCAAGGGGGGGGGGAGAATATAAATTGCTAAACCGACCAACTCTAATTGTTGAATTGTTTATGTTTCTTTTTTTTTCATAATAAATATTGTTTAAAAAACGCCTGATAATTATGCACCAACCCAACAATTAAAAACAGAAAAGGTAAAAAGGAAAATGTAGAAAAAGAGTAAAAAGGAAAAAAAAGTGGGAAAAAAAGAAGAGGGGGAAGAAATGGGGAGAAAAGGTGGAGGAAGAAGAGGGGGGAAAAAAAGAAAAGAAAAGAAAATTTCAATATAAACAAAACCAGAAAAATAAAAAAAGAACTGATGCAATGCAGGACAGACTTTTGAGAGGATGCTTCCCTGATTATCATAAATCCTAATCACTTCAAGTTGAGGATCAACTGTTATCTATTCTACATATTTCCCTCCTTTATATTATCTTACAACTTCTTCATTCAGTAACTCTCTATCCTGAGTGGCATATAGGCCTTGTATTGGGTGAACAACAAGAAAAAGAGAAAAACAAAAAATTAAATTCCAAAAGAGCCTCTCTCACCCAAGAAAATTATTTCAATAGAAACAAAAGCAGAAAAAGCAAAAAGTAAATAAAATGCTAGTAAAAGTAGAAATAATTAAAAATATTTAAATACAAATAAAAACTCTGAAAGTCAAAAAAAAAAAAATAGATAAACTAAAGAAAACTTATGAGAAAACAAAGCAAAAGCCAATTCAAAAATAGAAAATCTAAGAGAGTTAATAAAAAGAAAACAAAGAGTAAAAATAAAAATAAATGAATAAAATAGAAAAAGGCAGGAAATAAAGAAAAAAAGAAAAAATATTTTTAAAATTTAAAAAAAAAAGAAAAAAAAAAAAAAAGATGAAAAGTGCAAATTATTCAAGATGTCCTAATGCAGAAAAGCAAAGGAAGAAGAAAAAAATTATGATTGTGAAAACAAATGAAACTTTTAGTTGTAGGGTAATGGATAGTGGCTCAAGATTGAGGAATCAGAGAGCCAAATTCAAATTCCAGTCAAGTTTGTTACAATCACTTATGTGCTAATACGAATACATAGAAATGTATGAAGCCATTTCCTGCTATTTACCTCAGTAAGGTCATTTGGGGACTTTGTGGCATACTGTGCCCCAGCTCTTCTGAAAAGTGCGGTTAGTTCTGCAGTTTGATTTGTCTTTTGTCAAAATTTAGTGCAATTTATTCACATATAGATCAATATATAACAAATAAGTTAAATAATATTAACACAAGACAAATTTTAATAGATAACACCAAAATTTTATAAAAACTTGGAGAGTTGGGTTAAAGGGAGATAACAGACATCTGGAAGAGACATGGCACGAGGAACTAGAATAATCTACCATGGTGGACGAAATAAAGGGTTCAATTCCAAATTCCAGTCACCTGAAGAAGGCTGGACATACAATGACCGAAACATTGTGAATATGGCAATAAAGATGCAGACAACAGTCCGAATAATGTAAATAATAAAAATTTCAGTTTGAGCGTTTAAATGACGTTACCTTCAGTGACTATATAATTATTTATTTAAAAATTATAACATAAATATGTTATAAAATCACTACAAAAATAGCCATTTTGTTTCAACACCTCTGGTGTCTTATCAAGTGATGATGTTGAATGTAGGTTGTAGAATAAAGGTTTTAAAAGATTCAAATTAATTAACCACCCCTCTTAAGGGGAAATGCTGTCACATGAGCTGAAATGACCAATCAAAATACAAGTATATGAGAATTCAAAAAACTTGACAACGAAGTAAGGTTATAATAACTATTAAATGCTTTAAAGTTGGGTTTATACTAAAATAGAATTTTTTTATATATATATATATATATATATATATATATATACTTGGATGTGTGTGTACTTACATCTGTGTATATGTGGATGTGTTGATAAGGGTATTTATGCATGAATATATATTTGTATATGTGAATGTATGTTCATATTTCTTCGTATACGTATGTATATCTTAGTGTCTGGGAATGTATCATCCATACTAACTAAAATTTACTTTTGTTTGATAAGGGTTCATTAATTGCTTATAGACTTTATCAACAATTGCGTCTTGTTACATTTTAAAATTATTATGGACTCTACTGTAATTTATCGTCAATAGAATATTTGTTTGTTTGTTTGTTTAAAACTTAACGACCCATCGATCAGCAAGAGACGTCGATAGAATAATATTGTTAGAATATGTGTAGGTTTATGTATGTATATACCTATTTATATGTATATATGTATGGATATGTATATGTGTGTGTGTTTAAGTCACCGTTTTTTTTATTATATATATATATATATATATATATTTTTGTGTATGTGTATTGAGCATTCTTAAGAATATTAATTGTTGGTTATTGGAATTTATTCTGTATAAACCAATCATATACTTGGAGATTATATATATATATATATATATATATATATAAATATATATAAGTTGTAGCCTCTGTCTGTTGTCTGTTTGTTATTGAACCTCCTAGGGTTTTGTAGATAGGTTCTCCCCCATAACCATATATATTCTGAAACTACATAACCCAGGGTACTTGGATAAATATATTTCATTTTGATCAAAGTGGGGATCCAGGGGGTACAAACAGCCCACTGAACATCCTTTTCCTTTTGATTTAATTTAAATTTAAATTTGAACAAAGGAACGACTACTATCCAAAATATAAAAGGAGAAAGCCAGAAGATGGAAGTCACATCAGCAAGCTCAAAATGAGACAATATGGATGTCAAGTTGAGCAAGAAATCACCAATCAGTAGGTAGTGCCTTACAATACATATTTGCTGTGACAATTCAACTGTCATGCCAGTGTTGAAATCTGCTCATCAATTCATTCAATCAAGTATTAGATCAAATACATATCAAAGGAGTCAGATAAAGCTGTTTTTGCACAAATTGCCCACTGAAAATTTTTTCCTTTGATCTGAAATCTACTCCTGTTCAAAAGACTGGGGAGGAGTGTGAACCTGGTGATAGGCGAGTCTATATGTGTATTTAGAGAGAAAGAGAAAGCGTGCAAAAGAAAGATAAAAATAAAATTAAAAAAATATTTGTGCATTCCATAATCGTTTTTTTTCCATGTGAAACTAATGTTGGCATAATATTCAGTTAAAAATATGAACAAGCAATAGAGATTGGAAAGAGTAAGGGAGAGAATGAGAAGATACAGGGAAACGATTTGAATGAAGAGCATGTAAATGATACTTCATTACATAACAAATATTTCCTCACCAGGATTGTATCGGTCATGACAATTAAAAAAGCCACCATGTTTACAAGCAGTATTATTGCCCCAGCGATCATTTACGCACACAGTTTCTTTTACAGGACTGAAAAAAAAGACAAAACAAGAAACAATTCATTAGTAATAAACAAAAATTTGAAATGAAATAGAAAAGAAGTTTGTAAAAATATAAATTGATTTAACTATTTGATATTTTTCACAAATGGGATTCACTTATTCCCTGTCTAACATCCCCATCATTGTTGGTTTTATCCCTACATTTTGGCTGATGCACTCTTTGGCCCTACTTCACTGGCTAAAATGATAAATCAACCAAAATGAGAACTTTAGTTCAAATAACTGACAGAATTTCAAACAATATTACAGAGATTCCGTTGTAAATAAAGAAACAATTCATTATCATATTTTAAATATCAAAAATGATGTGTAAAATATTTCAAATGTTATCTTAACATAGTCTAATGCAGATTTTATATCAATAGTTGAAATATCTGGGATGAGGAGTTATTATTTACAGTAAGACTCATTATTTTCATTATTTGGACTGTTATCCTTATCTTCAGTACAATATTCAAACGTTTTGTACGCTCCAGCCTTCTTCCAGTGTCAGGAATTTTGAACCAAACCCTTTATTTCATCCACTGGGATAGATTGTTCTCATTCCATGTGCCATGCCTCTTCTGGATGTCTCAGTTATTTCCCTATAACTCAACTCTCAAAGTTTTTGATGAGTTTTGGTATTGAACTCACAACTCTTTGGGTCTAGATATAACTTTTATCTACTGGGCTACGTGTCCTTGAGGACATCTGTGTATGAATTTCTGGGACTTATAAAACCTAATGTCTTAGCAACCATTTTTGCCAGTGCCCATGTTACAATTTTTCTGTTATTATTATTGCATATTTTTTTTTTTTTTTTTTTTACCAGAGCTTATATTGCAATTTTTGTTGTTATTCATTGCTTTTCCCTAACAATCCTTATTACTGGTTCCCATATTTATTACTATGTTTGGTCAGCTCAGGAGATTTGTAATTAAGAACAAAGCTAATAATGTTTCATCATCACAAATCAAACCCTAAGTTTGTTGTTACAATCCTGATTAGTGTCTATACCCCAAAAGGAACTCCTTGCGACAAATGTTTATTGGATCTCAATCTAGACATCAAATGGAACTTGTATATTTGTACCAATGCTAGAGATGCTGCAAGAACAGTTGGTTCCTTGTATTGCTCCAGAAAATAACTATCTCCTGCTATTATACTAACTTTACAAGATTCAGATCAGACCACAACAGTGTTTTGTTGCTATATCTGGGCCGAGGCTGTGCAGTCCTCAGCCATGACAGAATTTCAAAGCAATCACATGCTCCTTGCTAAAGAGTAATTATTTTATACCCAGAATGCCTTATCCCACAGATGAATTGTTGCTAGAGTCTCACTGTTGCTATTACTATGGCAGAAGCTCAGACTTTTACATCTAAGACACATCAAGCCATATTCAGTGGGCAAATCATTCCCATTTCACTTTATATTCTTTTGGTAAAAATTAAGTTCTACTTAGCTTCTTTTTCAGAACTGTTACCACATTCTTAACCTCTTCAAGTCTAGAGCTAACCACTACCTATCCTATATATCCTCATAATAAGGACCTATTACCCTTTCCTTGTATGCCCTTGCAACAACCTCATTCAGTAATCTTCTACCTTGACTGGCTCTTGGGCTTCACATTGGGTGAACTAAATTTAGGAAAAAAAAAAAAAAGTGTGCATCCATTTTTTTTTTCTTCATTTATGAAGAATCATAAAACCAAATATTTATGCATGTGCTTTTGAAAAATATTCTATACAAAGAAGTTAAAGAAAAAAAAGAAAAAAGCAAATACCAATGCTGTTACTAGACTTTCAAATTTGATATTTGTAAATAACAGTTAAGTTCAATAACTATGTAAAAGTTAGAGACTGATTTGACATTGTATTGATATTATGAACAGGGCTCTCCATTTCTAAAACTCAATATTTTTCAATCCTGATAAATATTGTAGTATAATGAAGGTCAAAAGAATGTTAATTATTCCTCCCTAATTTTTCTCCGTTTTTATGAGTGAACCAGTTTATTTAAGTAGCACCAGTTTCTCTTTGTTCTTATGGAGGAGCTCTCCAATTTATTCATTCCATCTTTGTAGTCTCTTTTCCTTTTCTATTGAGTGTTCCCTTTTAGGACATTATGTATCCTGTCAAAGAGTAAATCTTCTATCCTATTTCTTTTCTTTATGTATGTTTGCTATATCTATCTTCTGCAGAGCTTTTATCTTTGCATGTGTCTAGTTGAGTCATTCTTCTTTTGTTTGCTTGTATTTATTGCTGTTTTTTGTTTAACATGCTCTGCTATTCCTTGATATTATCAGCTGACTTTTTTCTTTTTTTGTTAGTTTGAGAATTTTTATTAATTGTCCATTTTTTTTTTTTTTTTTTTCATCTTTCCTCTCTTGGTCTAACATCTTTTACCAGTGTCATGTGTGCGTCCCTTAAGGTCTTCCTCTCCGAATTACTGACTTCTTAAGGTTTTATTGTATTGTATGCTTCCATAATTTTATTTTGAGTTTGTATATGGTTGGGAGGCGATTGCTCCCATCGTCTCTTATGTACATTTTATAGTGTAGTACTGCATTTCTAAATTTTTTTACAGATTGTTAGGGAATCTATCTGGCTCTTTGTGTCTCATTAGCTCTTTCATGTTCCCATGTGTCTTTGGTGATCCTTAAACCAAGTGTTGGTTATTATTTGGTCATTTGCAATGTAAATTTTGTAGAAACAAAGAAAAGAGTGCTCAACAGTTGTGTAAGATAGTGAATCTCATCATAAGTGGAGAAGAGACTTGAAACAACAGAAATGTTTTACAGAAAGACACCAAGAATACCATGGACTGAACATTTGAGTAATGAGCAATTTTTATGAAAAATGGTAACAAAAAGACACTTATACTTAGAATCAGAAAGAGATAATTGATATTTCTAGGACATATAATGAGGAAAGGGGGTTTGGAGAATTTAACACTCACTGGACATACTGAAAAGGGACAAGGGAAAGCAGCAAGTAACCTACCTAATGAACGTAAGTAAATGGATAGCAGAATAGTAGGGATTAGGATAAATGATGAAAAGAGCTAAGAACTACATAGGACAGGAAACTGTGGAGAGCTATGATCATCCTGAAGAACAACATAGAAGAAACTGTACACAAATGGACCTATTTTTTTCTGTTCTGTGATCCAAGTTCATACTGGCTGACTATTTTGTTTCTTTCCTACTTTTGTATTTAGATCCCCAATGATAATAATTCCTTGTGATTTGCACTGGCTTTTGGCATTATCTAGTATGTTATAAAACTGACTTATTTCTTGTTTCACACTTTCATTCCCTTTTCAAATTTACTAAAAGTCTGTCTGAGAGTTACTAGAACACATTTCCTCTAGTCTTTATCTGACATTAATCCTACTCCTCTTTCACTTCTCTCTTTGCATATAGCATTCTGTGTGTATGTTGCTTGTGGAGTTCCAGTTGTTCAGCCATCCGTTTCACACAATGTTAATATTTAGCCTCTCAATTCTGATTATCATTTTGCTTGTTGCAAATAGTCACTGGATGATTGTCAAGTGATACTTATTTCTCCTTACTGGGTGAGAAGTCACTTTCCCTTTGTACTATTTCCTATTATTTTTTTGTGATGTGTATTGCTATGATTGTTTTTGAGAGGGATAGTGGAGTGGTTTCTCATTGCCTTCTCTACTAAACACATTCCTTGTCCTCACTGAAATGGAAAAGCAGTGTCAATTGTTGACTATCCTACACACAATTATTCACTTAGGTGGCAGAAGATGAGAATATGAGTCCAATTGTAAATAATAACTCATTTCAGAAATGCAGACAATATTATGATATTCAGTCATTAAAATACTAATTTAGAGAAATAGGTCAGCTGAGAACTTTTCAGCACTCCCTTAAATACATGTGTAATGCTATTTAGAAAATGTACAAATATTAAACTTCAACCCTAGATAAACACAGTGTGACCCTAGACAGAATTGCTGATCTATGTGTGATTTTCTTTTTTTTTTTCCGACCCAATACATGGTCTAAAAGCCACTCAAGATTGAGGGTTACTGACTGAGGTTGACGCAAATAAGTGGAGGAGATAAGAAGTGCAGTTTATGAGGATATGTAGGATAGATAATAGTTGACTCTAGACTTGAAATTAAGATTGTAGTGATAAAGGAAACATCTTTTTGAGAGTCTGTTCCAGAAAATAGCAGCTTCAGGGTAGAAGCCATCTGACTGAATGAAAGAAATATGAAGGAAATGAGGATTCCTTTCAGTCATGGCAGGTCTTAGATGTAAAGGTCTGAACTGGTGGAATTAAGGAATTTAGCTTGTGTGAATGTTTGCCATAGAAATAGCAACAGAGTAGTGAAAGGCTTTCAATGTTTCATCTGCAGTTGTAGAGTGGAAAATACTCATTCACAGGGCTGTGTACATGTATTTGAACTAACATTTTTGATGGGTACTATTTTAGGGAATAAATCATTTTTATATGCTGGGGTGAGGTATATTTGATATGCGACATGATTGTTTATAAAAGGCAAAGGCATTTTTTGGTTGGTTGGTTGGTTGGTTGTCATGCTAAAGAGTTATCACTGTCCTGATTTGAACCTTCAAACTCGAGATGCAAAGTCAAGTGAGATGAAATACCAAAACAGTTCACTGTTGCTGAAACTGGTAGATAAAATTACATTTGGAAGACTAATTTTATCAGAACTTTAATTTTCATACACTTTTCATGTTAGCAATATTAGTGGAGGTAAGGGGTCACTGAGAATGAAAGAAACCAAGTAAGCATTTCTGAAGAGAAAAGTTCAATAAAAAGAACTGCATTCAAAAAGGCAAGATGATGATTGATGTTAAATATAATTTTTTGAAGATTGTAGCTGACAGGAAATCAAGAAGCTAGAAGAGTGTTCCACAAGCATGAAGTACTAGAGAAGCAACTGTTAGCATTGAACTTATAGTTGCATAAGCCATTCCAACTGTAAAATGAGGAGACCTAGCTGCCAATCTAGTACTGCATTTAAATTCAATGTACCAAAGAGGAAAGTTCATCAGAACAATTACTATGAAAATATTTATAGAAAAGGCACAGGGAAGCTATGTTATTGTGGTGGGAAAGCGAAGTTAAGCTGCCAGGTCAGAACATAATATTGCAGATTCTTTGGATTTTATGAAGAATCTCTAAATACATAGTGGAAGCATTAGACCAGATATGAGAGCAATATTCAATGCATGAATGAATGTGTAAAATAGCTTCTGGCAAGAAAGATCATGCACATATTTATGTCCTCAATCAGCTTTGAAGAATGAATTTATTTCTTTATAAAAAGATAAATAATAAATACTTCATTATAGTTGGTTCACATATTTTTATAATCTTGTCAATATAAAATTATTCTTGTAAAGAAGCAATCTAACAAATAAATAAGGTGTAATATTTTTGACGCCAATTCTCATGAAGAATGTATAAATTCATTTTTATGTGTTTGGGTTTTATTAAAATTCTAATCATCTTTTTTTAAAATGAACATTGCAGATGGTATTAACCTTTAATACATTGCATTATTTGCTACTTTTCTTTCCACTGAATTGTTTTTCAAGGCTCCTCTACTGCACTACTTCATTTCAGTCATGGTCATTTTCTGTTGCTATAGCAGGATATGACAACACAACTACAAAATTCATTCATTCGAGTCACTTGTAGTGGCAGGATAAAATTTTTGATTTGAAAACAAAATTACTTCCAGAATGTTAAAGGTTAATTGTATACAGTAATAGTGTCAAGAGAATAACTGTCCTTTTAAAACAGCAGTTTTTTTTGCAGACATGAAAGCTTAAAAATCAAATATTATACTTAAAGTTGTTTTCAGTTTTAGTGTTCAATAACCTGTGTAGACATTTTTGTGATATTTCATTTTGAGATTTGCTTCAAAGGATTTGTTAATTAGTGCATAATAAAGAATATCTGTGCGATAAGAATTGAATTTTCTAAATTTTGTTATTTTCCTAGGATGGAGGTCAAACCATTATTAAACATTGTTCTACTGGTTGAAAGACTTGACACAGTATCATGATAAAAAGCAACTATAAGACTGAATAAGGCTAGTAATAAAAATACAATAAAAAATGTAGTAAAAGACAGAAATTGCAGAGTTGGGTGGTTCAGGTCCAAGGGTCATAAATCAGTCTCACTCCTTCAATGTGAGAAAACATAAGGCGGTTGTAAACCAAAATGATAAAACAAAAAAAAAAAAAAAAAAAAAAAACCCAAATCACAACTACCTTTTTTACTCCCAAAGAGCCAAGCAATCCTGTAGTCCAATGTAGCATTCTTTTATTTGGGTTTGGGGGGGGGGAGGTTGTGATTGGTTGGGAAGCACAAGCAATAACCACATTTTGAGGCCTACTAAAGTCGACTCAATCTTGATTTGGATTTTCAACTGATAACACAAATCTTTTTTTGAAGTTAGGCTTGGTTTTCCCTTTCATTGCCACAGTAAAATAACAAAAACAAAAATCTCTGCTATTAAAGGATATAGACATTTTTGGGATCCCCACCCAGTATATTCAGCCTAAAAGCTTCATAGTGTTTATTTGGGTTCTGATAAGATATTGATCAG